ATACTTAACAATTTTTGATCACAAAACTCCTCAAACTTCACCCTAATTTCATGGTATGGCAGGAACTGAGGGTTTCCTTGTTTATTTCCCTGTCTGAAACATAGCTGTATTTAAGAACCTTCTGAGCATTCTTCTGTTTTGGTTGCAGCAGGAAGTGCTACCGTCACCTTGGAGAATGAAATGGAGCCCAAGAGCTGTTAAGGGTGCGTGGCCTAGTCAGTGGCAAGGAGCTGACTCTTAGACTTGCTGACTCTTGGCAAGGCTCTTAGTTGGATGCTTAGTCTGAGGCTGCTCCTAAGTGTCCTTCTAGATTTGTTGCCAGTGGTGAAGGGAAGAAGAGAGTGTTCAGTCTGCTTACATTCATTCCTTGGATGGCTTTTTATAGGAGAAGATCCTGTGACAAAAATACACACCCACATGCATACAGTGCATCATCAGCCTGCCTCATCTAGCTCGGGGAAAAGAGGCCAGAGGAAGAAGAGCACATGTATGAATATGGATGCAAGAGAAAGAGAAGATAAAAGGGACACAAAGAGACCCTGGTCAGCAGGAGCATTAGAAGTGCCATTGAAACTTGTAGTTTAAACAAATCTTGAGAATAACTGCAGGTAAACTATCAGGTGTTGAAGGAGGGGATCCAGGTGAATCTTTATCTTATCCTCCAGGGGCAAATATTGCTGCTTCAAACCAAAATATTCCAGGTTACTACATCTCTCCCATTTAGAGTATCTTCACATACCTGATACGTGAATGGGAAAGCATGGTGCCCAGGAACCATGTGAATGCATACAAGATACAAACTATGAAATACCTTGGCATGTATTGAGCTCTGCAAGAAGAGACAGAGCAGACCTTACCATTTCATTTTTCTGGCCGTTACTGTTTGTGTCCAGAAGATGTCACTAAGAATCTGTAACAAACCATCCTAACTGGGTACCTGCTGGTTGGTGTTCCTGGTCTCTAGAGTGCAGCAAACAGTCTGGGGAAAGTCTGACTAATTTTGCATGACAGCATATTCTATGTCACTGCTGACTGCAGATAGTGCAGCTAGAGTGCCCTGAGATCAAGCTGCCATGCATCAGCATTTGGCCTTATCCCAAGGCCAATGTGGAGATCAATGTGGAGGCTGTGGCTCTGCTCAGCGTTTGAAATCCAATTCAGTGCAGTGTGAATGATAGTATTCCTTCTTTGCATTTTGGCTGAAAGCCTTTTCAATCTCTGTAGGCCTGTTTTCTCCCTAGCAGGGTGAGTTTAGTAGATGATCTAACACAACTGAGTCATTTTCAGGTGTAATTAAAGCAATAATCAACCTTCAGAAAGGAAAATAGGGGCTAATGGTAGTGTCCTGACAAAGTCACCATGTCACCAGATGTCAAGAAGGAAAAGGGTTTCCTTGTTCAAAATTCTGATTTTCTAGAGCTCTCACTTTTACCTTATGCAAACGTTGTGTTCCTCAGCGTCCCAGCTCTCCATGGCTGGACAGCACAGAAGGGACCTTAAATAATCCAACTGAGCCTGGGAGCGTTGGAAAGAGGCAGGATCAGGACTAGCAAGGGACTGACCGCTCTACACAGACATAGCTAGGAATTACTGGCGCACCTCTTTGCAATAACCACCAAACAGGAGCAGGAGCAGCTGGTTTGTGGCATCAGCTGTGGTTATCAGCAGGGAAAGGCAACGGTCTATGGGAGCAGGCTGGAAACAGGGTTCATTTATGGGGATTTAGAGGGTACTTTCGAGGAATGAGGGCTCCTATTTTTTCCCTGAGTCTCTGTTTTCTCCCATACTAATGGGGTAATTTATTGGATATTTTCCTTCAGGAAGGTAATTTTCTGTCTCCCTCTCACAGCTTACCCTTCACTAAGGGGAAACCCAGAGCATGGCTATTCCTTGGACAAGAATCTTCTACGGGTGATAAATGACTAGGAAAACTGTGTGCTGCAGGACTAGGCTCAGTATCGGGTTTGTAGAGAATTCCTCAGCCTAGTGCAAAAAATAGGCTTACATAGAGATTGCAGAGGAAGGAGAAAGACTCAGGGAAAAGCATGTCCTTAATGTCCTAAGCAGCACTAAGCAATAAGATACCCGTAACAAAAGCTTTGTTTCATTGTATTCCTTTATGTGCTAGTGCCTCGTTAGTCTGTGCTTGGCTCTCAGTCCAAGCTGGTGAGAAAACTCCTATTAACTTCTGTTTGGTTTGAGTGACACCCAGATTTATTAGCAGAACCAAGTTAGGATTGGTCCTGCAAGTAAACAGGGTTTGTGCTGTGTACAACATCTCCTAGGCCTGAGCATTGTGTCAGGAGAACTGTAAAGGCTGCTGGATTGTAAGGGACTCAGCTCCATGCTTCCCACAGTTCTACCAGAGTTTGAATACTGCAGTTTGGATTAGGGAGTCCCTCGGATAGGGACTCTTCTTGACCTTGCTGCTTATGACCTTCCTGTCCTATTTAATGGAGGTTTGATGCAAATAAACAAGACGAGCAAAACTCATTGACTGAATACTCCATGCACTTTGAGCAGGTTTTTTTGTTAAGGAAAGACTTAAGACTGGATTGGTCCTAGGCCTGTGTCATGGGTTATATGTGTGTATTCAAAGCTTGTATGCTCTATTACTTCATTTCCTTTAATGTCTAGAAGGAATCGGAGAGTGCTGTACCTATACATAGGGAAATGTTATGTTATATTATCACAAGAAATTACTTGGAAATGGAAAACAAAGAACCAAAGAAAGCACTTAATCAGAATTATGCAGAAGGTTCATGAAAAAGCTGAGAATAAACAGCAGAGGCTAGAATCTCATCTGGAGTAAACTGAGGTAACGAAAGTACAGTATCAAATGGGAAGCTGATCATGTGTACTGGATCTAGGTGCTTTTCAATGAGGGATGTGCCAGTGTTTCCCATTTGAGTACTGACCAGTCTGTCCAAAGGCATAAAGTCACCCTCTAATCTTTACAACCTCTCTTTTGCAGGAGGAAGAGGGAAGGATGGGGCACCGATTATAACCTTTCCAGAATTTGCAGGATTCAGTGACATACCTGATGAAGATTTTCTGAATGTGGTCACATATCTAACCAGCATTCCCAGGTGAGGCTAAGCACAAATGTCTGTTGGTTTCCTAGAGAGCTTTGCTTCCTCAGTGGCTCACTGCTTTTAGTGGTGCTACCAGGATGTACCAGTGACTCTGCATCCATCCAGTGAGTATGAAACTTTCCTATGGACAGGAGGCCCTAGGAACCACTTACATCATTTGCACGGGAAAGAAAGCTTCACACAGGACAGGTTTTCCATTCAGGGCTTGAACTGGGTGGGAGAGGGTGTAGATCTGAAGAGCAGCAGTAAAGATAGCAGATCAAAAGGGGGCTAAGAGGGGTCATTTGTGAAAACTCTCAGGGGCACTGGATGTAACAAGGGAAGGGTTGCATCTGGAAGGAGCCAAACTTATATAGGTCCTGTTACTACTTACTCTCCGAGTGCATCTTTCTGAGCAAGCTTTCTCTTTTCTGCAAAAGCAAGCTAGGTGCTCTATTGACAGGATTCTGGCAAGCACCGTGTGCTTTCTGGTGCTTCGTTTATTGGGTGATTGCTCCACAGCTAGGATGTTTTCCTTGCTGTTTGCCTGCAGCTCTGCAAGGATAGTGAAACAAACCCACTTCCACTGCTCTGAGGAAATGCGCTAAGGCATGGCTGCTGAATTACTTTTTGTTTATCCAAAAAGAGAGCTTAATATTTTTTCAGTCCCCTGACCCTGTCTCTGGACCATGGCTGTTTGTACTAGTTAGAAGCACAGCAGGGATTTATTATTTCCTGTGGTCTTGCGTATAAAGGTGCTTAGAGGATGATGAGGGGAAAACGTGCCTCCTTCAAGTTTGAGTAAGAAGTTTTCCAGCTCCACCTACATGTATTCCCCATAGTGAGTTGCCAAAGCAAGCTGAGAGAAACCACACACTATGAACTTAACAGCTTCATTGTTTCACTCTGCTCTGTAGGGCTTTTGTTCTGCCAAGGGAAACTCTGTCTTTTGTATTTCTTCACTAGCTTCAGGACTGGGAGGATGACCAGCTTCAAGGTTAATAAAACAGCAAGAGTAGCTGAGGAAAACACAAAAGTAGTTTTCCAGTTCTTTGTATTTGGTATGCTGGTGGGTGATTCCCAGTAATGTCACATGTTGGGGAACTAGCAGGTTACATTGTCAACGTGATAGACAGAAATGCTTTATGTTTCTTCAGCCTGTGAGAAAGCCAAAAGCAAAGATGGGTTCAGAAGAAATTAGCCAAATTCATGAAGGATAGCCCCATCAATGGCACCTGAACACAATGGCTCAGATGCAAACTCTGGCTGAAGAAATCCATATGTTCCTTAATGCTGGAACTTGGGAGAATATACCAAGAGAAAGATTGTCCTCACTTTCCTTCTGCTTTTGCCTCAGTATCCACTACCTACCAACACTGGAGACAGGGTATTGGGCTAGATGGACCTTTGCTTTGATTCAGTTTATCAGTTTTCTCTTACCCTGAGGAATCCCAGAACAACGTGCAAAGAATGATGAATTAAGTTTCAAAACTTTGTACGTCAGGAGAGCTGCAATACGCCTATTTTACAGATGAAGAGGTATGTGTAGGTAATATCTTGCACTACAGACAGGCTCACCAAACCTTGTGTTGAGTAAGTGATTATTCAGTTTGATTTAAATGACCTGTTCAAGGTCAGTGACAGGCTGGGGTTTGAACCTACATTTTCTGCATACCAGCACGTTGGTTTGACTCTTAGGTTCAATCATAGATAACTCTGTAGGCATGTGAGTTTTCCAGGAAGTTTTTGCAGTGCTTTTAGAAGATTGACAGCATTTCTTGAGTCACTATTTGAAACTTGCCACCCTTTATGTAGATGGTGAGGGACAAAGGTATTAATTTAGAAGAGGAAGAACCTGAGCAGCAAGCTTTGCTTGTGTGATTTATGACATAAGTATATGAAGTACAATCTTAATGTGGCATAAGTAGTGGACCTGTTTGGGTGCAGCAGAGCCTTGTTAATCTGTAGTTGGCTGGTCCATGCACAGAGAGTGTCTCTGTCATACATTTCAGCAAGCAATAAAGGGACTGCATGTGTTACTTTCATCAGCACTACTGTACTGCATACTACTGTGTGTATTATGACAGCATTCCTGTACGTGTTATTTCACTGCTAGTAGTTCACCTTTTATTTTAATTCTCAAGGAAGATATGCAGGTATCAAACAAAGTGACTAAGAGAAGAGAATAGTCTCTAGCTCTTGTGGAGTTACAAAGGGTATGGCTATGAATCAGGTGAGATGAAGTATAGTTTGAAAAGCAGTTCACCCTGTTTATCATAGAAAATACTTCCTTGTTCATAGCTCAGTGAACCAGAGAAATCAGCATCATTTCTCAGGCAAATGTAGAGAGAATATCTGTCTTTTGTAGTGTCTGTTTCTACGTACCCTGTGGAATAAAGTTCATGCTAGTTGTAGAGATAAGATCTACGATTGCAGATTACATCATTTAGTGAGTTAGTAACTTTCTAAGTCCCTCTGGAATGATTCTGTGCCCATATGACAGAATATTGAAAAGATAAAGATAGACAGCAAATGTTGTTATTCAGATGCACAAGCATGCACTTGTCTTTGACATTGCTGAGCAAATTTGCTTTACCAGCTGTGGCATACCACAGTATTTTGGGGTGGGCTGTAAGTAAACCTTGCACTTCTGGGCTTTAAAACATGAACTACTTTCCAGGATGGAAGATCAGTCCAGTGAGACTTTTGTAATCTGATTAATTTTCCCCCTGGTTCAACACCGGCTCACAAGAGTGGTCCACATGCATACACATCCACAAACACTGAGTAACATGGTGTATGCGCATGCATACCTCTATGCATGCACACTTACAATGGATAGGGCTAGAAAGCCTGTTTTTTGCTTGCTTTATTCCATGGCTGGAATTCTCTTCTCTTCCAATTGACGTGGATCAACTACTTTGATAAACAGGTGCCCTTCTCTCCTTCCAAAAGAGGTCAGGAAATTCGACATCTCCTGGCCTCCTCAAATCAGTGTTCGAGGGCTGACCTGAATTCAGAGCTGAGGATGGAACAAGCTCCACTGATTGCATGTGTTGCATTCAGGGAAAGGGAACCTCTCTGCCAAACATCTGTAGATCTAGGCAAATATGCCAGAATTTGATTTGGAGGTAAGCTTGATGTTTATCTGCTGTGCAGGATTGTCTTCAAAGCCCTCTTTTCAGAGAACTGGAGAAACCCCAATGCATTTCCATAATAAGGGTAGAGATATTACAGTACTGACGCTGAGAAAACATTGATAGAGTGCATGTGTGTGTGTTTTTAAACGAACTCCCTTCCTCTGGATACACACAGGAGTGGGGTTTCTCAGCTGTACATCCACTTGCACTGGTGCTGCCATCTTGGCTAGGCTTCTTTCCACGGCTGTTTGCCTGCATGCATCCCTTAGTGCCAAATGACATTCAGACCTTGGTATGGCCTTTCCTTTTGGCTTGCTGACTGAAATAGCAAGCTTGCTGACACTCTCTCTGTTTCCCTGGCTAAATTTAGGTCTTAAATCAGCCCTATCTAGTAAAAAAAAAAAATTTAAAAAGATATACAAATACCGTTGGCTTATCTCAGTGAAGACAATTGATACCATCCTGAACATCAAGGTGAAAAACAGGGAATAACATTGCAGAAGGCTGAGGTCTAGCTTTGTGTCAGGGTTACAGGCCAATTTTGAGTTTTCTGTTGTGCAAAGGTACCTCTCTTGCCTAGACCCTTGTTGTGTTGCATCCATCAACCTGTAGCAGCCAAGATTTAGAGGTGTATCTCTGAATGGTTTCTTTGCTGCTTGCCTTTGTGTAGTCTGCCAGAGTGATTTTGAGTGATCTAGATATTGTCCTATATTTTCTTCTGTGCTCTGCTCAGCTGCTCTGCTTTCTAGCAGCATGTGGTTTTCTCATCTCCTCTTGCCACTCTTTTCCTCCTTCTTCAGATTGTGTAATTTTTAAGTCTATTCTCCATTTTTTACCCATTTAATCTCAGACAATGTAATAACTTCAATATTGTAAGTGATATATACTGCAATAGATAACTGAATTTTTTGCTTAATGGCCTGATTCTCATTTTACCCTGACAAATCTCTCTCAAGTTTCATGCCTTGGCTTGTTCTTCATATTCTTCTGCAGCTAGGATTGTACCTGCGCTATTTGTGTAATAAAGTGTTCTGGCTGTGCTGTCCCCCTCAGCCCCACGTGCCAGGCACAGCTGGTTGGCAGGTTTTGTCTTTGCCAGCCAGCTGCAGCTACTACACTCGGTCTTGGAGGGAGAGAGCTGAGAGTAGCGCCCCACCATAGCTAGACTGCGCACCCAGTGGTGTTTTGCTCTCCTTTGCTCTTTTCTTATATTTAAATCCAAGTCATTATATAAGTATCTATTTCATCTTTCATTTCCTCAGTCTGTCTCTTTAACTGGCCTGCAACACTGTGATTTGCAGCGGCAACTGATAAGCAGTGTTTCTATTCCCATATGTTTGCTATTCCCAGCTCTCCCCACCCCCATGACCGTTCTTGCCAAGCCTAATTTCATGAGAAAATTCCTTTGCTGCTTCTCTTGCATTTTCTTGGTTTTATCTGTATTTCATAAGCTCCTGTTCCTATTATCTATGAATTTAATTTTTCTTGTTGCATCTGATGCCTGGATGCTTTTGTGCTGTTACAAATCCCTATGCAGAAGAACATCTGAAAAAATGAACTGCTCAATCATGGACAGGTACTTGAAAAGGCAGGAAAGGTCTCTTTTTAAGTGACTTCTGATCTACATGTTTGAGGGACTTTTAAAAATGGGACTTAAGAGTTAGTCTGAGGCACAGAGGCAAGTTTTACTTGGCACAAATACTTTTGTGTTTGTTTAACTCGCGGTTGTACTTGTTGCTTTTGGCAGATGCTGTCTTGTCAGTTACTTCCATTGCAGTTTGCTCACCAAGGTGAGATTATAAGGGTCTGATTCTGAATCTTTTTAGGCCTCCCATCCTCCAGGTACACTCCTTTTAGAAAGCCTTTAGTCAGCCTCTCAAACCATGCAGATGGGCAAAACAAGGCAATTTCTATGTGCAGTCAGCTTGTGTGAATATGGTGCTTATAGATATAGTTACTTGTGGTTTAACTACATCATAACTTTTGCAAAGAACAGATTTTTCTCATTTTTATTAACCTGATATTACTTGAATGATAGATTTCTTTAGACCAACATTGGCATTATGTTAACTTCAGCTAATATACCTACTTTGTTGGTCATTTTGTTATAAATCAGTGGTTTCAATGGAACTGCATCAGATTTGAACCTGATTCTGTGTGTCCAATTATTGTCTGAGAGATATTCAGCAGCTACAAATTGGTTGCGTGAGTCTGAGCTGAAAACATAATTAGATGCTGATTACAATATATATTCTCTGTTTCTTTGGAGTAGAGGCCGTATTTTGGTGATCCGTTTGATTCAAATTATGTCCTCTTACATTCCCATCTTCCTGCTTTAACATGGTTCTCAAAGATTAACATGGCTGTCAAAAATACATAAAGCGTATTAAAGAGGCAGCCTTTTCCAAGGTCATCTAAACATGTAACTGTTGCAAAGAGAATTTCATTGACTTAATTCCCCCTTCATATCTCACTCTATTACTAATAACGTTCTAAACAATAGACCAGTTTCAATAACACACTGTAAGCAACATGGATGTTGAATTGTAACATTTTTCTATTGGAATAATTAGTCACGACAAGCAGGTTTTTTTTTTATTTGTTCTGGTTAACCAGCTATTTGGATCAAATCCTGTTCCCTGCAAGAGCAAAGAAACCTAAGTGGGACACGCATCTTGTGATTACTCACTTCCCTGGTCATTTGAAGAACCACAAATAGAAGAGCTAACCTCCACCTGTATGGGGCCAGAGCATGCTTGAGTCTGTGCTTTAACAAAGAGGCCAGCGAGGGTGCTGGGATTGTTTTTAGGACCACTGGATTGTGAAAACTGTTAATATTATCAGTATCAAATGTTTATTCTGGATTTATTCTGGATTAGTCTGAACTGGTGGATAGTATGTAGGAGAGTTTTCAGATATTTGTTAATGACTAAGATCCTGTCTTTAACAAGCCAATTTTCTGTGGACTGAATGGTCAGACAGCAGCTAGTGTTGACTGGATGGTCTCCTGTTCCCTAGGCCAGGGGACTGGGTGCAACCCACATCAGCTGGTTTTTAGAGTGTGTTTCTATTTGACAGCTTCTCAATGGCTTTTTTGCCTTTTGGGGTGGTGGCTGTATTAACTGAAGGATTGGAGGCTTGTCATTTCCAGGTTCTCCATCTGTAGTAAATGGAGTAACCGGGGCTGCTGTTGGCACAGGGATTGGCAGACCACTGTGCCCGGGGTGGATGCAGCTCTGATGCTGAGGAGTGGAGGTTCACACCACCCCAGCATTCTGCCTGGAGTGAGATGCGGGGGGTATTAAATGGGAACAGAGAAGGAAAAAAACACTTTTCCTTTTCCTTTTCCTTTTCCTTTTCTTTTTCCTTTTCCTTTTCCTTTTCCTTTTCCTTTTCCTTTTCCTTTTCCTTTTCCCTCCTGAACGCATTTGCACCCTACAATTTCTAGCAGTTGTTTTCTTTCTGTAGTGACCTAAATATTTCTTAGCGAATTACTAAACAAAAAGATTTTTTGGACATGTATCACACAAGCAAAGGAGGAAAATGACACGTGGCTTTGTGCTCCTTTTGATTTCCCAAACTATCAGCAAGTTTACCCCAACCTTCTCTGTTTGAGATGTAGCCAGAATTCCTGGCACCTCACCTGTAATGCAGCAACATCGGTCGTCAAGGCAGAGAGAAAAAGCCTGTGTCTATGTGTCTCCATTAGGCAGGACAGGCACCCTGTCCACAGAGATGCTACCTGGTGGTCTGGAGGCTGAGGCTGATTTGCCCAGGCCTTTCATGCCTACCAGAATTCCAAAGCAATTTTTGGTCCCAATCAGCAGAAGCAGTTTGATAAAACCAATGCAGAGTTTTGGGTAAGTTAGGAAGCTCCCAGGTTGAGACTTTTGTGTTTAGTTTCTCACACTCCTTCTGTCAATCTGCAATACACACAATTTCTTTGTTGCCTTCCTCTGATTTTCCTAACGTCTAGAGCAAACACGTAGATACCATGCCGGGCATTTTTTTCCTTGAAACACTTGTTCGGCTATTGAAGGATATGCATGTATTTGTATATATATAAAAGGAGAAACTGGTGAATTATCTTCCCTGTGCTTGAGAGGCACTGCTGCAAACACATTTTCTGTCCTCTGCATAAAGAGCTGCATGTTGCAGTGCTTAAGAGGAAAGATCCATTGTCATTGAATTTCGTAATTCTCAGAGGAATGCCTTTTTTATCGAAGTGGGAAATTCAAGCAGTTTTTCTAGTACAAGCGTGAACTATTAGGAACACTTGCATGGCATCCCAGATTTGCACAACACTGGCTTCCAGGTTGCTGTTCTTGATCCTGCAGAGCTGCAGCAGAAGCTCAGAGTTGGTATTGTTGGTGCTCTTCAGTGGATTATTGACATGAGTTTGCGCAAAGTGACCCATGAAAATGGTGTTCCTGGGATGCTTCTTGTGTGAACAATGGAAAAGGGATGAAGGAAATGTTTTATACAATTTCTCTTGATCTTAATCTGTAATTAGATGTTTGATTGTAGTATGTCCTTTGATTATGACAACATTTATACTCTTTCTGCCCGCCTCTGGTTTGTCCAGAGATGACTGAGCTATCCTGCTATAATGAAGTTTCTAGAGATTTTTCTCAGTGTGTGCTTATTAGCTTCCAAGGTCTTCTCTCCAACTCTAAGCACTCTTGGAAGGCAGAGTAGAGCACAGTCCCACCGAAGCCGTGCACACCAAAGTGGGATTTTTGAGAGAGAGAGAGGATGGGGTATTTATGAGGTCTACGTAGATGGGATGGAGCATCAAATCAGTGCCTCACAGATCCTCCTTGAAAAGGAGGAAGGAACAGTAACTGTTATTCTAGTCAATATGTTAAAAGGATACTTTTGAATGACTTGCAACCCTAGAACCAGTTTGTGGTTGGCAAGAAAGATGTCTACCAGAATCCCTGGGGCATTGTGTATACAGGCAAGGTGGTGACAGTAGGGAGATAACTGACTCCCTGGAGCGAACTGCCCCTGTCAGATGTCAGCATACTTGGAGAATGAAGACTGAAGTGGGGTGTCTAATAACTTGAATTATTTTGCAGAGAAAACAAGGTCTGAGGTTTTTGCCTTCAATACAGCACAGTGTAATTCATGATCCTGAACTATTCATATCACCTAGATTTGGCAGCAGAGTAGCATAGCAGCTGAGATTTAGCAGATAAAATATTCATGTTTTGTGTAAGCTGCTAGCCTTACGCTGGAAAGAGAAAATTTGCCGGCTTTCATTTTCATGTGAATTTCTGCCAAAATATTCATTCTTTCCACTGTACGTTGCATTTTCATAACGGGCTTAGAGGGTGATCTGACGGAGGCTGTGTTTTGCTGCAGTACACTCCTTGGAACGGGACTATCTCCATGTAACCCAGCATACTTATTTCATCTGTTTTGCAGTCTGGAGGCTGCCAGCATCGGATTCATCATCATCATAGACAGACGACGGGACAAATGGAGCACGGTCAAGGCATCCCTGACACGGATAGCAGTAAGTGCTTGCTTTTGTTATTTATCTTCTAGAAATTAAAATTATCTGCTGAAGCTTCAGCACAGGATACAGTCTCATGTGCTCATTTTTAGCTCCCATTTTCTGGCTGTGGATGCAGATTCTCCCCTGCCCTGAAGCTCATGAGTGTTAAATAAGAGAAGGAGGAAGCTGCAGTAACAAATTACACAGTCTTGTTTACTGCTGAATTAGGACAAATTCCTTATTTGCTTGGTTGACTGCAATATAAATTCTGGTAATTTGAAGTTGGTTCCTAGAAGAGTATAACAGAGGTACCCTTCTCTGCACTGAGGAGTGATGACGTGGCCTGCTTATGAAAGAAACAGATCTCAAGGGACTGCGTGGTAGTAAGTGATCTCTGTCAGAAACTCTTAATAGCTTATTATATCTCATCTGCAAAAGTTAGAGCTAAGCACTGATTTTCAGTGCTAATAAAAGCAGCTGGTTTTATACATCTATTACCTGGAACGTGTGCTGTGTGAGGAGCAAGTGCTTATACACAGAGGTGTAGGGTGGAGGGATGACCAAGGCGACTTTAAGTTCTTTCAAGGAATTTAGACAGAACTGCTTTTCATTCTCAGTTCTTTTTAGCTGCTCTCTTCCAGAAATTGTTCTTTTTTTATGTCTGATGAGCTCAGAGGAGTGCATGAGAGATGTAGGCTGGGTGTTGCAGACAGGGCCATGTCTGATGAATGTGTTGAGTGCCTGTGTGGGGGGAAAAATATGTGAGGTTAAAAAGATTAAAAACCATTTCCAGAGTGAGAAGTTAGGTCAGCCTGGGGAATTTATCTGTGCCACCAGCTTCTTTCACCAAGTCCAACGTGGGTAGCCAGTTTTTGTAGGTAGCCAGTTTTGCCCTCTACTGGCTGCAGCCTAAAAAAATGGGAAAATCTATGGTGTGGTAGTGCAAAGGGGGCTTGGTGTGGTTCAGATCCGGGGGAGGAAGGGACTAGTGCAGAAACTTTAGAGCTCTGTGCTAAATCCGTATCAGAAAGCAATGTGTGGCTGGGCAGCAAAATCCATGGGCTGGTCTTTCTGTTGGCTTTGGAGATTGTGACAATGGGCACGTGCTGAATGGACCAGCTGATTTTATTAGCAGCTGGACTGAGCAAGGTTCTGTAAGTCCTACCTGCTTTGCCCCCTTTAGGAAACACTTGGCTGAAAATTCCCTTGGCCTTCCTGTAAGGCAGAGTTGTGCCTTCTAATAGTTCTATATTTCTGCAGGGAGCATTTCCAGGAAACCTGCAGCTGGTGTTTGTCCTGCGACCCTCCCGCTTTATCCAAAGGACAATAGCTGACATTGGCATTAAACTCTATCGAGATGACTTTAAAATGAAGGTACCGGTAAGCATGCATTTTTTTTGTCCATGTGTTTTCTTTATCCCCATGTCTGCAGTTCTTAGGTGTCAGCAATTTCTCATAACCCAGTAACTGAAATTTGATTGCAAGTGGCAGCTGGGGACTTTGATCTGGATCTGTATGGTGTATATAATAGTAATGCCAAAGAGTTAATTACCAGTGGATGCTTCACAGTATTTAACGGACATGTTCAGTCAGTGTAGCTATAAAATGTGACTTGGTTTTTAAGTATTGACAACTTAACTCGGTGGAGCTGTTCTCCTGATGTAGGCAGAGGTAGATCTTCTCACTCCAGTGACAAACATAATTATTTAGGACTACAGAGCAGTGAAAGGCTAGGGCTGAATTCTGCATTATTTTATGTATTATCCATGGGACTGCTGACAATCTGGCAGTGCCCCTGTTAAGTGCTTGCATAGCACTGCCTATTCTTAATGCCTTTTACGGTCCCCATGCCCTCAAGATTCAAAGTCTGGTTTTTACTTCTTTTTATACGCACTTGGCATATGCTGTGTGTTGATGAGAATGTGATTTGAAGCAAGTTATCAATCCTGAAAGAGTTTAAGTTTTAGATTATTCTGAGAGCTCTTTTGGGAGTTGTTCCTAGCTGCGTGTTTGCATGTGGTTTCAAAGTGTTTTATAAATAAACTTGAATGATGATTATTAATGGTATTTCATCCTGGAACAGACTCATACTGTGTTCCACAATGACTTTACTGGAGTGATTTCATATGATTGTTTTGGATTTTGCTTGTGGTTTTATATTGTTTTGCAAAAGACCCATGGCTCTCCAATGAGTTCTAGCTCTGTCAATACCTAAGTTTGAAGTTCAGGTGTTTAAGACACTTTATACTTCTGCTGAAGTAAGAGACAGCAGTCCATTTATTACAATGCATACAGAAAAGGAACCATGAATATTCATTTGGTTATTGTCGATTAAATTGTAACATTGACTGTAGTTTGGCAAGGGTGGCTTTTTGGTAATTAAAATGCAAAATTGATGTAAAAATGTATGTTTGATTACAAAACAAAATCTTTTAATTTTATTTCACCTTGAAAAATGGATGTTCCTGTATGTAATAAGCCACAATCTGTTACCATAGCAACTGTTGTACCAGCAACTGCAGCCCAAGAAGAGACAACTTCATCAAGGACTAGCATGTTCTAGCAATTCAGCATGTTCCATACTTTTAGCAATTTATTTGATGCCAGCGTTGCATTTCAAATCCAACTTGAAACTATCAAAGTTGGAAGAGAGGTTAATTCTAGGCAGGGGTTGAGCACTGCATTAAGTATTAAATAGTAACTTACCTTTCTTACAGGCAGAAAAATCAAGATACGAGTTTAGTTTGGGGTCTTCTTGGACATTCAAATTTTGAGCCATCTTGGGTATGTCCACAGAGCTCTTAGAGAGCAGTCTTACAAAAACTAAGAGCATGATATGCTTGCTGCTAGATCTGCTTGCCTCCTGCCCAGATATCTGCAGACAGCCTGTCAGATTTATATATAGTCTGTCCACGTACACCTGATGCTATTGTAAGTTGCTTAGGGTTGTGCTAAAGGTGTCCTAAGTTTCTGGGATCTGCCATGCTCTCTGGAGGGGCCTTTCAGCTGTGTTTGCAGCCCATCCTAAAAAGATAATCTGGGCATGCCCCTGTGTAGCCCAATTTCAGAACGGGTGGGTTACTGAGAGCAACATCTATTTGTCCCCGTTGAAAATAGCATCCTACATGCCAAGCATGAGAACAGGGCTAGAGAGTTCTTGTCCCGTGGGAGATACCCTTACTCAAGGAATTAGATATCAGTACCCGTCTTTAATACCAACATCATTCTTTAAATTGTTTGCAGGTTGTTTGTTCACGTTGTGCATTTGGCACTATGACATTAATGTCATAAATGGGCCATGGATGAGTTGCATTTCCTATCACAACTATAAGTGAGTCAGGGCCAGAACATGAGCATTCAAAAGGAGCTTCAGGAATATGGCGTGCATTTGTTAAGGACACGTTTGTTAAACCATTTATCTGAGCTATCAGACTGCAAATATGTTCATTGAAAGATTTGCTGGGTTAAATCAACACTGGATTGAGCAGAAGCCAGAAGATCAAACAGAAGAAGGAAATAGAGGCTGAAATAATAAATCAGACACAATAAGGAAATGCAGGATTTATCTGACTTACTGTTGTGGTTTAACCCCAGCTGGCAACTAAGCCCCACACAGCCACTCGCTCACTCCCCCCACAATGGGATGGGGGAGAGAGTCAGAACAGTAAAAGTGAGAAAACTCGTGGGTTGAGATAAAGACAGTTTAGTAGGTAAAGCAAAAGCCACGCATGCAAGCAAAGCAAAACAAGGAATTCATGCACTACTTCCCATGGGCAGGCAGGTGTTCAGCCGCCTCCAGGAAAGCAGGGCTCCATAATGGTTACTTGGGAAGACAAACGCCATCACTCTGAATGTCCCCCCCTCCCTTCTTCTTCCCCCGGCCTGATACGCTGAGCATGACATCATATGGTGTGGAATATCCCTTTGGTCAGTTGGGGTCAGCTGTCCTGGCTGTGTCCCCTCCCAGCTTCTCGTGCACCCCCAGCCTACTGGCTGGTGGGGTGGTGTGAGAAGCAGAAGAGACCTTGACCCTGTGTCAGCACTGCTCAGCAGTAACTAAAACCTCCCTGTGTTATCAACAGTGTTTTCAGCACAAATCTAAAACATAGCCTCATACTAGCTACTATAAGGAAAATTAACTATACCCCAGCCAAAACAAGCACACTTATTGACATACAAATGTGGTTAATAAAACCTCCTGAGGTAAATCTCTATTGGGATAGTTATTTGATTAAATATCATTACCCAGGAGCAAGGTACAGAAATATTGGAGATATTTTCAATATTGAATATTCATCTGAGATGAAATGTGCGAATTCAAAAGGAACACCCAGAGATTTACCTAAGGAACCTCCCATCATGGGAAGGGAATTAAAGCATCTTCATAGTATACACAAAAGGCTGAATAATCTGTCCATAGCAGGCACTTCTTTGTCCTTTGTAGACTGTGACTTCTTTCAGATGACCTAACCCATCATGAAGCAACCCCACCGCAGCTCTGTGTTCCGTGCTGACCTGCTTATGCAGGCCCTCCTCTTCTAAACTGCTACTCTCTTGTATTCTCCAGCTTACTGAATGTGGCTGTCTGCAGTCTGGGAAGAAGTATGGGAGATGCTAATGCACTGTAAGATTGGTTTCTTAGATGGATGTTAGATTGCTCCTAGGCTTTCTCCTGCAGAGATGCCTGCAAGGCAAAGACTCGTGCCCTATTGGGTAGCACCATAGCTGGCAATATTAATAGGTTTGCTTTGTGGCTCATGCTGAGTATATAAGGTTAAAACTAACATCTTCCTAAAAGAAAAGTACTCCTCTGACAGTGTTCCTCTGTAGTTTCAGTGAAGTTTGGAGTATCAAAAGATGTCCAACTTATTAGTGACATCTCTGATGGCGAAGAGCTACAAAGCAGTTAAGGCTTACTTTCTCAAAGGTGATTTGCAATTCAGAAGTAGTGCACAGACTTCACGTTCCAGTCTGAGGCTACTCCAAGATGACCTAGTTTTTGAGTTTTCTGGCTTTGATCCTAACAAAACAGCGTTTGGTAACACATTCAGGGAACAATTTTCCCTTTAGCTTTGGCTGAGGTACCTTGTGCTTTCTTTGCCTCAGTTTCTTCACCAACAAGGTTTCCTGGCCTCTGTGTTTAGAAGTAGGATTCAAGAAGATGAACTGCTCAAAGTGAAAAAGAATTGAGTCAGGGACTACTTGAGAATATTCAACCCATACATGTCCATGGAACTAGATGCGTCTCCCACAATATTCTTGTATCCAAGTTAGGATGTTAAAGTCTGGATGGGTCGACAACTAGATGGATTTAAAAACTAGTTGCATAATTTGGCTCAGAGAGTAATGGTTAATGGGTCATACTCTACCTGGAGGTGGGCAACGAGTGGTTTAGTGATATCTGCTGGGACCTGCCCTGTTCAACAACTTTATCAATGACCTGGAAGAGTCAACGGGGTGCACTGTCATCAAGTTTGCAGACAACCCTAAATTGGGAGGAGCAGTTGGTACACTCAAAGACAGGGCCACTGGAACATAAGCTCAAGGAATGGGCTGACCAGCATATTATGAAATACAAAACGGACAAATGCAAAGTCCTGCAGCTGGGAAGGCCTTCCTTCTTGGAAGGACTTCCTTCCTCAAGAAGGAAGAACCCATGTTTTTCCCTCCCAACAGCACAACAGTGTTGTATTGTTGACAACAATACAGGTTGCAGCCTGACTGTCTGGAGAGCAACTCTGCTGAAAAGGACCTGGGAACTTGGTAGACAGCAAGCTGTACGTGAGCCAGAAGTGTGCACTGGCAGCAAAGGAAGCTATCAGCATCCTGCATTAACAGCTACAGTATTAACAGGAGCATAGCCAGCAGATTGAGACAAGCAATTATCCCCCTTTACTTGGCTCTCATTAGATCTCACTGAGAATACCCTGTCCAGGTTTGGTTCCCCCAATACAAGAAAAATACTAATCTGGAGTGAGCTCAACAGAGAGCCATCAAGAAGGTCAGGGCTTGGAGCATGTGCTCTATAAGGAGATGCTGAGGGAACTGGGCTTGTCTAGCCTGGCAAAGGGAAGGCTTGGGAGGTTTAATATGACATAACAGCAGCTTTCCAGTCCCTCCAAGCAGGTTACTGAGAGCATTCAGCCATGTTGTGCATGCTTTGTAGGACAAGAGATAACTGACATAAAGTGAAACAAGAGTACTTCTGACTTGATATAAGGAAGAACTTTTTCACCACGGAGATAATCAGGCAGATTATCAATAGTCAGACCAGACTGCCTAAAGAGGTTGTACGGTCTCAATCCTTGGAGGTTTTTAAGACCCAAGTGGATAAAGCTCTGAGCGACCTGGTTTGATCTCACAGCTGACCCAGCTTTGAGGAAGAAGTTGGACTAGAGACCTGAGGTTACTGCCAACCTGAATTATTCTAGAATGATTCTGTAACAAAGATCGGCTAAAAACGTGTTCAGGTTTGTTCTCAAGGCTTTTCTTAGAGCACTATCAGCCTAGAATATACATCCTCTTGCCTCCATACATCTGTGCTCATCTCATTGTCCACAGTGTTTGCAAGTGTACTTACCATGCTCCTTTGGAGACTGTGAACGGGCGTAGCCAGTTATCCTTTATTTAAACAGCAGAGTGAAGTAATACATTTGACATATATTAAAGTCTAAGGCTTAAAATTTCTAGTCATTTATGCTCAACATCTTGTTTTTCTGTTGCTGAAATCATAGTTATTTTCTAGCTGTTAGAACAACAAGGCATAATTGAATACATTTATGTTATTTGTGTAACCACTTTTGTTGCCAGATTTACAGTGGTAGCCAAAAGGTAATACTGCTTACCTGAAGCTGAATGCAAATCTTTTGCTTTCATTAAGCAGTTCTAGTGGTAAGGAGACTCTTTAAAGTAAGAAAATGGATTTAAGTTTGTCTCTCTCTTTCATCATGGTTTAAAACGGAATAATGCCAGTGAACTCAGTGGACATACAGTGCCATAAAAATTATGCAACTGGAAGGAAAATCTATTCTCAGTGGTCTCATTTCAGCACTTCCCTGGATCAAGTTGTTGGTGTTGAGGAAGCTGTTTAACCTGCCTACTCCTCCATTTATCTGTAAATAACAGTTATCTAGAAAATATAGACTTTATTTGATGGAAGTTTGCGTGAACATTGTAAATACCATACTTTTGCTCTTGATGCATGTGCAAAATTATTGCACCCTCAGCCTAGCAAGGAGCAAGATGATGTCAAATTACAGTTAGTTCAAGAATGGCCATGTACACGTTGAGAAGGCAGAATCTAGTGGAAATAAACTGTGGCCACTGCATGAACAAATACATAATGAGAACTTACTGCCTATGGTGGAACTGCAGTTTGGTCATATATGTTTAAGGCAAACCCAGATCCTAGGAACAATGATTGAAAGAGCTCGTTATTTCTCTCAGTCCATTGTGTTTGGATTCATTTCAGATCATCATGTTAAATTCTGTCTCTGATCTGCATGGCTATATTGACAAAAGTCAGCTGACCCGGGAACTGGGAGGAACCCTGGAGTATGGCCACAGTCAGTGGATACATCACCGAACTGTGAGTATTGGTGGTGTTCTTACACATGTCTACACCCAGAATTGTCCAGATGACGAATGTAGAGCAGCTGTGAAGTAGTAACTCTTCAGCTGCATTTCAGCCTACAGATTCTGCTAGGGATTCATGGAAAGAGGAAATCCATGACTCAAATAGAGAAAGGCAAATTCCCCAAAAGTTTGTAATAGAAGTGGTAATCTGTCTCTCGCTGTTGACCTGGACTAGGGCCTGACAGTGTCATAGTATTCTTACTCAGCAAGGCCCTTTGGCACATTCTTAGCTTTTGAATAATTGATGAGATTCATAGGCCTTTAGCTCATGGTTGAAGTTGAACATATGCTTTAGCACTTTACTGAATCAAAGGTCAAGAATCTTTAATGATTAATTATGTCCATGTTTTTAAGAGAAGAAAAATACTCAAGACACTAGATTTTATTTACCTTTGTTTCCATTTCTGTGCTATGTAAACATGCACTCCAGATGGGTCTTACTTTAAGTAACCAAAGAAGAGTTAATAATTGTAGGAAGGCAGAAAGACTTATTCTGTTGCCTTTGAGGAAACTTGTTACAGGTTTGTTTGTTCCCTTTTTTGGTTGAATGTAAACAATTCATTATGGTGCCTAGAAAAGGTGACCGTCTGCAAAAACCAGATCCCAAACACTGGCACATCAGCAGCCAAAATATTGTCTCATCCTATATAAGCAAAAACAGGCAAAGCTGGGTCCTGATCCTGGAAAATTAATTTATTTCCTGGAGACTGTATGCAACGTTTGCATCTGTCTTTGTGGGTCTACTTGCAAGACTGGTATGTTAGAGCTCACATCTAAGTAGCCCCGATGTTTTGCAGTGTTCTGAGCAGCCTTGGGTTTGAGCCTGTTGCTGACCTGCAAGTTAGGTCTAACGCTCGGAAAAAGAGCTTTTCTGAGGTAGTTTTGTTAAGTCAAATCACTTTTGTCACTTTCCCACTATGATTTTCTGTGCTTTACTGTCCATATAAAATTAAATTTTGCTCTCCTTGAGAACCTCCAAATATTTTAGGCTTCTAAATATGCAAACACAGAATCTGAATTTCCTCTAACACTGGTTTGCTACATTTATAGCTGTGTTGACTACAGTGAGGTTAGGATTGAGATAGGTGAATAGGTTTACATGTTGAAAGTATCAAAAATACAAAACTGTCCTTGCAGGAGGGGTGAGTCTGAAGGAATCATCTGTATGAGCTTTCAAACAGCTAAAGGCTTGAAAAATGAGGAAGGGAAGTAAAAAGAGGCATAAGAAAGGTTGTATTGTTTCTTAATGACAAGATTTCACATAAAGCATGAATATAGAGTTCGGTAAAATATGCAAATAAAAGTGAGCCAAGATTTGAGGTGAGCGTGGCTCTGTAATCCTCAGATCTTTTGGTTAAATTTGTTTGAAAAACTTTTACCAAGCACAGATACTTGACAAAAACCCCACAGACATAACTTAGGTATAGGAAACAATTTATTGCTCATACACACAAGAGAGTGTGGGGGCAAGCATGCTATTAGGTGAAACACTGATAAGCTCATGGTGCAGTCAGCCAAGGAATCTCTGCTGGATAAGTTGTCATCAGGGAAGTGTTAGCTTCCATGGCACCTTGAAACAGCCGGACTTTCAGTCTTGCTGAGCTACTGTCTTCATCCCCTTTGCTGCTTCTTTTAGTGTTCTCATATCTTGTCCTGCCAGTGCTTTTTTTTCTGAAACAGCTTTAAACTGTTGCTAAGTGGTAGTGACACAGCAATCTCACTGCATTGTTCTTTGTTTCTGCTTTCTTATCTTATCTTGAATGGCTAGGAGTCTATGAGCTTTCTTGCCCACAGAGCACATTTTTGGCTTTTAGTAAACAGCCTTTGGCATGGATGGCTCTATCTGTGTTGCAGTGACATTTCAGCCAACTTTAATCCAGTGGTTTCAGCGCTGAGAACAGCAGGCTACAGCTGCTAAGCACTAAGCCAGAGCATATGTGGGTCTGTACTGCTTGTGTTGAAAGTAGGCATGAATTTATGGGAAAAAAGGGAAGAAGGCAATGAACCCTGCTAGCATTGCCTCATCTGGAGCACGTTTCAGATCACATATGTGGAATGTAATTTCTCTCTGCACCTTTTGAATGATGATCTACCTCCAGTTTGTTTTTCACTGAGCACACAGCATAATTTTAACTATCATGGTTGCAAATGAGGAATTCCCATCATTGCTGGAGAAGGGAATGCAACTTGCAACAACTATATAGTGTTTGACTGGGTGTAAGAGCATCCCTAGTGCTGTTGACTGGCTCAAACGATTGGATGGTTTATATCAAAAAGTGTAAAGAACAAAGAGCTATACAGGACAATACAGTCCCTAAAGAAATTGGGGCTAAAGAATGATCATGAGTCCCTAAAGGAATGATCATGAAAAAACATCCCATGCGGTTACTTGCTACTAGATACAAAGGTTTTAATCACATGTCACAAGTCGGAACAATATATCCTGCTCTGAAAAGGCAGCATTCTTTTTAACCCTTCCTCACTTCCCCTTTCTTCAGTAAAACCACAGATTTCTGACAATTTTTGTGTTGGTGTACCCAAGTGATAAAGAAACAGCAATGAATTTATGCATTTTGACTGTATTTGCAGTAAGTTGTTCTTGTATTTGTGTACTAATATGAACAGATGGGAGGGAGTGACTGGAATGCATCTAGTACAGATAGGCAGGATAGAGATGCACGTTTTCAGAAGTCGGGGGAAGACAGATTGCAGTTCAGTGAACAATAGCTGTATAAATATAAATGTAAAAAGGCTTTGCCTTATATACTTTCAGAGTCTCCTCAACTTAAATAAGGCCTTAATTAGAATTTTAAACACAGCAGAATTTCCCAGCAAGCATGGGCTGAGGATCTGAAGTTCCAGTCCTGGCTTTGAAGCTGATGTCCTCTGTGGTTTCATGATGTCTGTGAAGCTCTGGGAGTTCCCCAGCTGGTTTGTGGAGATGATAATACTTATAGGCCTGTGAAAGGATCATTTGTGTCACAGGATTTAATTTGTAACTTTTAGCATATCCACCCAAAAAAGGGCAACACGGCCAGCTTTACAGGCATGTAATACTTGCAGCACAGTGTGTCTGAAGGACTAAGCATTGTTAAAGGGCTAAGGGTAAATAACCAGTCTGTGACTTTATGCTCTTGCTTTTCCAGGCTATTGAAAACTTTGCAATGACAGTAAAAACAACAGCACAGATGCTACAGACCTTTGGAACAGACCTAGCAGAGACTGAACTTCCCAACGATGTGCAGTGCACAGAGGAGCTCCTCTCCGCACACACTGACCACCATAGCAAGCTGAAGGTGAATGTTGTCTCATGACAGGTCCATCAGCATAATAGATGATTTTTGATTTAACAAATTTTTCTGCCATCGTTTGGGAGTCCATTGTCTGGAAACTACTGAAGAGGAGAGAAGCCTGGGTTCAGGAGGCCGATTTGATTCAACTATGAAAAAAGACTTTTTACAGCTTCAGAAATGATAGAACAGGGAAATGTCACTTCTGCTGTGTTGAGAGGGTGTGATGGGATCACATCTGGAATAGCGTGGGCTCCTGTTGAAGAGTTCATCAGAAAGGATGAACTCACACTGGACCAGATGTAGAGAACATCCGTGAGGATAATCCAGGAATAGACAGAATGATCTAACTAGATGATGACTGTCATTTTGTTTTTTAAAAAATAGTTGGGGGAAGTTTAGCTTTGCAGAGTAAGGCTCAGAAGAAAACAATACTGCTGTCAACAAACACCTTAGGTTAAACACAAGAGAAAAAAATACTACCTAAGCTATATTAGCACAAGAACAAGTTTTATGCAAGAAGTGTGCAGTGATGTGGGCACTCCTCAGCTGACAGGTTAATGTTTGAGCCTCATTGTCCTTTTCATTGCTCATCTCATGCTGGGAAGACACATTCTTCTGTGGATGACTCCTTGATAGCTGATGTACCGTGGCTCAGCATGTCACAATGTTGTTTAAGGAAATTCCATTAAGAATTGCAATGTCTCAGTACAGTCTCTCAGCTCACTGAACGATCTGCGGCACACATTCAATTTGTGGTAGAATAATGTATTCTGCAAGTTGCCTGGTCAGAAATGCAATCTGCTCAGAAGTTATATACTATTCCTTTTCTCAGAAATATATCTACTATTCAAAGTGAATAGATGTAGTCTTTGCATTTCTAGAAAGACGTAACATCTTTGGTAAGCATTTATAATTTGTTCCAAGTATTTAATACCTACGAAAGAATCCTCCTTTAGCATTACGATGTTGTCCATCTAAGAAATGTGAACGTTGTTAGAATAAGTACATACAATTTGTTTGGCTTGGTTTTTTCCCTCAGGATGAGCTGAAACTAGCTGTGAAGCAGGGGGCCACCCTACTGACATGCATTAGGGAGCCAGTCACCCGAAGCGCCAACAGCAAACTCAGTCCAGATGAACTAGAAAATGTGGCAACGGTAGAAAGGTCAGTGAAACTAGATTGCTTTGTGCAAGTTGCTAATTTATTCATAAGAAATGCAAGTGTAATTTAAATGATTTAAATACGCAGGTTATAAATTCCCACTGGTTCAGTTTTTCAGGATTTATTGGACAGGTAACTCGGAGAAGGGGATAGCTTTGAGGAAATTACTTGATAAAACTGTCAAGGCAAGTTCAAACAAATCCTGAATTTCTTGGTAATTTTTGGTTGGACTGCTAACTACCTGGCTGAAGATTTAATGTGGGACTTACTTTCCCCATAACATATGAATCCTCCAAACTTTTATGCCTCGTTAGAAAGTGGCATCTGAATCCATGTGAGATGAGAGGGTATGTGCTTGTGCATGTCTGTGGAAACACTGGGGAAGGAACAGATGAAGATGATGCTCTGAAACATATCCCTTCGCAGCTGCAGTGAGAGAGAGAGAAACCCCTATTCCTTCCTACAATGCTAGCTATTACCATAAAGCTTTTAGTCACCGTGTAGAAGTTTCTGCTGTGCCATGTGATGCAGTGGAAAGAGAAATGTCATGCTAGTATTTCAGCGTGTCTGCATTCACTGGGAACAAAGCTGCCAAAAGTAAAGCTGAGCTGATATTTTTCACTGAATACTTTAAAATCCTTTAAACAGTCATCCCAAAGCAATTTGTGAATTCATCTTGAATTCAACAACTCTTTGACTAAAATCAAGTTTTTCAGGGATAGATTGAAAATAGAACTTTGTTTTTGAGAGGAATAGGAAGGAGCTATTGGTGTTTGCCCCAATAACTTGATGATTCTAGCACTCACTGAGCTTGTAGGAGATCAAGCCTGGTCCCCTGCCTGCCCAAAGAGTGCCCATCTATGGAAATACAGGATTCAGAGAAGAGTTTCTTTTCACTTTTTTTCTGTTTAAACTGTTCTACTTTGTAGTATAGTTAATAAATCATTGAGAGACTGTGAGGATGACTCACTAGTGTGGTTTCAGACATTTTACTCAAGATGTATGTCACCTTGATACTAATTTCTTTGCAAATAAATCTTTCATCATTTACACAAAGTGAAACAACATCCATGGGAGGCATTATGAGCTTCTAATCTATTGTATTTAATGGACTGAGGAAAATTATTCAATCCTTGCCTATTTTTGATGGGTGAAGAAAATGAACAAGTTGTAGAGTTCTGCTTTAAACATTCCTTAAAATAATAATTGCATCATATTCAATCTGCATTAGCCTGGGGTGAATTATCTTTGAAGAATTGGGTGGAAGCTAGGGAGAGACAGCTGCCTTTGGCTGCCAGTGCATGGAACAGCGCCGCGTTCCTGTTGCAGGTCAGGAGGCAGGACTGGGACTGCCACAGTGGATCCATGTAGTTGTCACTCATCCGTCACACTCCTGCCTGTCCCACTGCAAATTTCATTCTCTTTCGCTTAAGGGAAGGTTGACACAGAGCCTTCTTACATGGGTGTAGGCTCCCCACCATCTTCCTACTCTGCTTTCTGCCATCAACTGGTGTAACTTAAAAGAAATGAACTATAGGAATTAAGTAAGTTCTTTTCATTCTAATTTCTTAACAGGTTGTTGGCTCAGTTGGATGAAACAGAAAAGGCTTTTGATCAATTTTGGACCAAGCATCACCTAAAACTAGAACAATGCCTGCAGCTTCGACACTTTGAACATGATTTCAGAGAGGTATTTCATTTGTTCATTCTGTCTAGCCTTCTCTGGTAAATAAGGCCAAATTTTACCCGTACTTAGAGTATACTGGCAATCCAAAAAGGAGGTTGGGGGAGGAGCCCTTCATTATGAAATAGGAAATGGATATTCAAAAATTAAATTCTTGACGGCTATCAGATATCTTACAACATTTCAATAAGGCACAGTGAAGAAGGTGCCAACCTGTTAGGCCAAAATGTGAAACACCAGCTTCTTGATAAATCATTTTGCATTTATGTGTGATGTTACCAAATATCACTTCTGTGGTGGTAAGTTGCCAATCCGACCAGAGTCAATTGAAAGCCCAACTGTCAGCCCAGAGGCTGGAATAATACAGATTCTGGAGTAATATAGACTCTGGAGTTACAGGTCTTCAAAACTGTGTGCACCTAAATAAATAGTGAGAAGCAGGGCAACCCTTTGAAGAATAGTTGATTTTTGCTTTATTCATTGGCTTTTCCATTTTGGAATGAGCTGAAAGACTAAACTTGAGACGCAGACTCTTCTAAAAGAGGTAGGTGAATGTTTAGAAGCCATAGGTTTGTTATAATTTTGTGAGTATGTTGTGACGGGGTTTTGGCTGGGGTTTTTTGTTGGGTTTTTTGTTTTATCTTGCTGTTGTTTTTTAGGTAAAACTGGCATTGGATAATCTCATGGAAGCACAAGCAGGTTTTGCTGACATTGGAGACAGTGTGACTCGAGTGGAGCACCTCCTAAGGGAACAGAAACAACTGGAAGAGAAAGGACAGGTTTGCACTGAATATAGTATTCTAGCTGCTATAGACATGATCTTCTAGACACTCCTCTGTCACTGTCCTTACATCACGCTTACCCTCTTCTCATGAGTCATTATTTTAAATTACAAAACTCAGATCCTAATTTCCAGGAGCCAGGGCTGTTCAGACCCAGTAGTTCCAGCTTGTTACTTGGAAAGCTAGAATCCAGTTAAAAAATCGGTATTTCAAACCAGGAAATACCTGTTAGGTCCATCTTTGGAATCTGAAAAGCTCAGAATACTTAACAGGTTACCTTAGCCAGGTAACTTCTAAGACCATTCTATTCAGACTCATAGCAGTCTGAGGAACGCCCATGCCTTCCAATAAGCACCTTTCTTTTCCAGACATTTGGACTTGGTAATTCCATCAGCTGGTCAGCTGTGATATACATCACATTTAGTATTATTAGAAAGCATCGAACAAACAAGTAAGTTGAATCAGAGGAGAATGCACAAATGAAAACACTGATGGAGAATGCACAAATGAAAACACCGATGATCATCTTTTTTAGGAATAGGATTAAGATTGAGAAATTTTGTCATCTTTGCACAGCTCTTCTGCAGAAGCCTAAAGGAATAAAAGTTATAGTAACATGCATTTTCCTTCCATTGTCCACATCACATAATGTATTGATGTGTGCTCTATTCCCATTAGCCACCTCTAATTTCATCCTATTGTGACTAACCTTATGAATTGTACTCAGTCAGTAGGATTTGAAGAGTTTTCCAAAATATATCTTGGGATCAAAAATAAACTAAAGCATTATAAACCTGGCAATTACTGAGTGGAAAAAAAAATACAGGTTTTTTGATTATTGGGAGCTTTGCAGGGAAAAAAACTTGTACAATGAATGTCCCCAGTATGTGAGAAAGAAGGCGGCATACACTCACAGAATCACAGTTATCACAGAATGATTAAGGATGGAAGGAACCTCTGGAGGTCATCTTGTTCAACGCCCCTGCTCAAGCAGGGCCACCTAGAGCAGGTTGCCCAGGAGGGCAGGTTGTCCAGATGGCTTTTTATTATCTTCAAGGATGGAGACCCCAAAACTTCTCTGGGCAACCTGTTCCAGTGCTTGGTCACCCTCCCAGTAAAAAGTGTTTCCTTATGTTCAGGTGGAACCTCTTGTGTTTCAATATGCTCACTGACAATGAATTTGGTCTTCAATGTAAATATAAAGTAAGACATATCAGCTAGATTAATATCCCAAACCTTTACCTCCAGGCTACAGCAGAGATTGCAGAGATGGATTGTCTTTATTATGCATGTCATTTTAAGATCTAACTTTGGATTTTTTCTCATTAATTTCACAGGAACCTTTGGAGAAGGCCCAGTCTTTAGCTCTCCATGGAGAACAGCTCATCCAAAACAACCATTATGCAGTTGACTCCATTAGACCAAAGTGTGTTGAACTCAGGCGTATTTGTGATGACTTTACCAATGAGACCAAGAAAAAGTATGATATTTTGGGAAAGTCTCTTGAGCTGCATAAGCAGTTAGATAAGGTGAGTGAACCTTATCAGATAACAGCCCTGGTAAGGTTCTACTGAAAATGAATGTTTTTATAAGCTCAGGTAATTTGGATGAAGAGAAAAAGGATTTATTCCTTTTTTCTCAATTTCATTCAGAAACTGTTACTATAAAAATTGGAGCAGTGGCTTCCCATAATTATGGTCTTAAAATGATGAGAAGTAGGAAATAAAACTAAGAAAAAATTGAGCTATGCCTAAATTCGAAATGAAAACCAAATGTATCCCAGTGCTTAAAAATTAACAGTTCACTGCTTGTTCAGTTGTTTTCACTTTCTCTGATCTAGCTAGAATAGCAAGCTAAATGCTTTGAGAATGTCTGCATGCTATTCCAGCCTCATCTGAAATAGGAATTACCAAAATTTTATGGTAAAAACCTGCTTTGGAGTATTTTTAACTGAGTTTTATAGGCCTAAGAAGTTTTGGGGAGTTTTGATATGGTTCAAATATTTGTTTCGGGTTTTGGTTAATTGTGTGACTGAACACCGAAATGAGGTAGTACAGCTGACAGATTCGATTTCCAGCAACCACAGTAACACTTCTCCTCTTTGCTCAAAATATTATTATTTTACATGTGACTGGACCATCCAGCCCGTGAGAGCTGAACTGAACTTGCTAGTGTTGTACATAGCTAGGTGGGGTGACTTGTGGGCAGGAACTGTTGGGTGCTACGAAGTAACATTCATTTCCTTTAGTGACATGTTAGGGCAAATCTGTATTTCATGGAGTAGAAGCGACACTTCACAAGCTGGACTGTCAGTGACGATGGAGTCCTTCTTGCCCCATTTTTCTTTAAAGGCAAGCCAATGGTGTGAAGCTGGAATCTACCTCTTAGCTTCCCAAGCTGTGGACAAGTGCCAGTCACAAGAGGGAGCTGAAACTGCACTCGTTGAAATTGAGAAGTTCCTGGTAACAGCTAAGGAACACCAGCTCTCTAACCCAAAGGAGTTCTACAATCAGTTTGACATGATCCTCACCCCCGAAATAAAGGTAAAACCCCTCAGATGTGCATGCACTCACTTAGAATTTCAAAATTACCAATTGCCTTGTACATGAGAGTGTACTGGGCTATATATTTG